TACAATAAATCGTAATAAAGCCAAATCTGTATTTTAAATATTAAAAAAAAAAAGTAAATGGTATATACTTGTATACATGACAAAGACTCGAAAAAACTGTTTTTAAAATGTTTGTCTGTTTATTTAATGAATTCTCTTTAATTTGAAGTATCTACTGAATAGAATATGGCAAATGATACCTATCTAGTGTTAGATTTTTTACAGTACGAGCGATAAACAATAAAAATGCCTAACTATCTATAGCTTTCTTATTATTGTTTTGGAAGAAACCGACCAACCAATCATCCGATAAAAGAATGAAAAAATTAAGGACAGCTTTCTCGTTTTTAAAACACAATTTTTAACCGACTTCAAAAAAAGGAGGAGGTTCTTGTTTCATGACCACCACGCGAACGAAATCGCAGAAAACACCTAGTCCTTTCGATATACACAAATGTATTTAATTTGACAGATACTTTTTCCAAATAAATTATCTAACATTAAAAAACGAAGCCATTACGAATACAACATTTTACAGCGCTAATTGCCTTTTTAAATTTATTTCTCAATAGATACTATTATAGTTGAGTCTATCCAATTAAATCAATTATTTTTATGCAAAATAAAGTGTCACAACACTTTTTGAATGTTCAATACATGAAATCAGAGTTCCCTCTAAGAGAGGGTATTTATAGTATATATTATGTACATATTTTTAAAATATTATACTTTGAAAAATATATTTCAATAATCTTATATTTTACGAAAAATATAAGATTATTAAAATCTTTGACAATCAAATGGTATCGACGCCCGAGTGTCGAAGAATGTCACTAAAATCTACAAAAGCATATTTAAAATTGTCAATAAGATGTCGGACTGGCTTGCCGTCCTTTTGCAAAAAAATCACTTCAGTACAGTCGTTGCGAGATATAAAATTTATTTCAGGGCAAAAATGCTTTTATTTATCTCAATCTCCGAGTTCCGAAGTGAAAATGGCGTAAAGCGCATAAATCAATCGTACACTTGGTCATATGTTAATTTATCTATCTGAGCGGGGCTGCTTGTGGCACCGGAGGCGGGCAGAACACGCTCAAATAGGTCGACGCGCGACGATATATTTGTAAAAAAAAAGAACACGGAAAATACACGTAAACGAAAATTTCATTATTTAGATTGAAATGAAAATGGTAATAAACGTAGAATAAAATATTTTCACGAAACAAGGAGTGACGTTGATAAGATTGAGACAGAATGATTTTGGTCAAATAAGATAAAAGGAGCTATTTGAATATTATGCACGTATTCATCAGATGTCCATTTCAGATTCCGAGCGAATAGATTTAGTTTATGTAAATCGGAGTAATTGCAAAAAAATCGAAATGTTTTATCAACAAATAAAATCCATAATGTAAAAAACAAATGTTTCTTATTTTATTTTACGACTAGGCGGGAGTTCGTTTCAAACTATTTCACAAAAAACCTTATATATTATCAGGGGAACCGTCAAAACAAAGTTTTTGGAACTGTTTTGGGTCACAATAGTATTTCGCCATTTATCGTACATCCTGATTCAATCATTATATGTAATAAAGGAAATATATAATAAACTCTTATTACTTTCAATATATATATTTTAACAAGTTTATGTAATTAAAGTTATTTTTTTATATGTGTTCCTTTGATATCTTAAACTTTATAAATATTTATTCAGCTTACGTAAATAACATACATTTTATGTAATTAAAATAAACGAACACATCAAAAATGTATAATGAGTAATGTATTACTAAAATAATAATAAATTATTTACCTTGGAAATGTAAAACAGAACATGTTTGTTAAATATTATTTCAATTTTGTGTTTATATGAGTGAAACACATTTTTTTTTTGCATTTAAACTGTGGTATTGTACTTTTACGTTATTTTACAATAACTTTAATATTTACGTATCTCTAAACATATACTTAATCCATTAACACATAATATAAAGAAGTACATACTATTAATTTACATTCAATGTAAAGGTAAAGTTTTAGCAATGATTTATTCGACAGGAATATTAAAATTAAATTATATTCTGCATTAAAACCGACACTGTAATCTGAAGGGCATAAGTACCGCATTCCCAATTACGTCATAGATGCAGTCTCATTCCGCGTCGATTGATCTATTTAGCCGATCGTGACTGAAATTGTACGCTTTCTAATAGCCTTTACAGTTGCATTTAGTGCTTTGACGGGCCAGCAATCGCACCTTTATATCGATTTCAGGTACATACATGGGGACGGGAAAAAGTCTAGCACAATTTTAAATGTCGTACCATATCCCACGTCAAGTTTCATGACCTCACTGCTAGGGCGTCTCTCTCGCATGACGTCTTTCATTCAACCTTTGGAACTAAGGCCTTCCGCGATGGCTCGACCGGGCATCGAAAGGTTTTATTCTGAGTTTCAAGTTAAATACTCACTTGTCGTCCGCCCGTATCCGGCGTCGAACCCGACCCCTTCCGGCACCGAGGCGAAACTCTCGACCGCCGTGGCACCGCCGCCGATCATTTCAGATGCGATATATCACAACGATACTTCACTCCGATTTCGCGATGCGCCGACGCGGACGTAGGACGGGCCCGTATCTCTGACTACGATCGACGTGCCAATTGCGATAGCGATCCTTACATCGGTACTAAATAGCATTAAGCTTCGTCCGGTATCGTTCGCCAAATCTTGAGTGACAACCACACGCGCTTTAATGTTTAGACGCGATCTCATAGTTTGGGTCATAGTAGGATTCGCGCGTGAAATATGTTTAAAAGATACTTTTAATGCTTGCTTTGACAAAAATAACTTTCTTTTCAAATTATTAGTTATTATATGTGAAATATACATCAGGGTATTAGTCAGTCAGATACTGCATCGTTTTCATGCGTATATATATGAGATGTGTGTGTGTGGCTGTGTGTGGTGTGTGTGTGTGTGTGTGTGTGTGTGTGTATGTGTGTGTGTGTGTGTGTGTGTGTGTGTGTGTGTGTGTGTGTTGTACGTGTGTGTGTCTATGTATGTGAATACATGTGAAGTTCCTCACCATTCTATTTAAAACATTAAATTAATATTTATTTCTCCATAAAATTTAATTTACTAGAATAATGTGCTTCTGTTCACTGGCATCTTAGAGCCTATGCTAAGGACATTACTCTTATTTTTCTCATTACTCAATGCACTAAAATACATGTCGTATATTTTTATCCTATCGTATTTTCCTTTAGTATTGAATAAGACCGATTCGACAACACAAGCCCGAGTGAATACAACGCAAACTAGGCACATACAGCCGTATGTAAATGGCAGAGGTAATCGCTAGCGACATTAGAGAGCGTGCGGCGGCGACCCACGCACGACAACCGAGAACATATGTCACATCTGTGAAGATCCCGATGTACTACTGGTGATGGATACAGTTTACATTATAACCTTGCAAAGTTCGTCTTGACTAAATAAATATAATAATAGCAAATATAAACTCACGCATATTTCCCAGAAGGGTAGGTATAGACTATAGATTTCCACACGGTACGACTTTTGCGTATCTCTCTTGCCGTACTGACATCCATAATCAATAAATATTGTTTATTTACTTTAGGGAATGACCTGAATAGACAACCGTTGCTCACATTTCATTTTAATGAATCTTCATAAATGAACTTAAAACATCGGGTAGCAGTTTCTCTTTTCTTGTGTAAAATATTACGCAAATGTAGTATTGCATTCAGACTTCGTGTAGACACTTGGCACTGCTTATTGTAATCAAAGACATTACCGAGCCAGGAGACTTGAATACAAACGCCTTCTCGTGACCTTGTAATAGTTAAGCAGGCCTTATACTAATTGGGCGAGTGAGGCTAAGCTCACAGGTAGAAATAGTCGATTTAAAATCATGAATAAAGTGTGGTGTCCTCTTAACGTTTAATAGAATAAAGTGCCTTAAAGCTTTTTTAAAATAGATTTTTTTTTGTAGTTGGACGATTATTATCTAAGTAGTGGTTTCAAAGTTCCATTTTCATTAGAAAGAACAAAAATAATTGGACAACCTAAAAGTGATCAAAGGAAAGGATCAAAGAATTCGTTATGATATTTTGTGGTCATTTCGCTGCGTCACAAAATTTTTCTTAGTATAAATATTAACTCTGAGTAGCTAGAATCTTCGTTTCAATCGTCTACACTTGTCAAAAACTTTCCCTAATGTGTATAAAATATTAGTGAGAAAAAGTGATAAAAAATATATACAGCTAAAGTAAAAAATTGTAATAACAAAATGTAATATCGGTCTATAATCATCAAAAGGTCAACAATCAAAATATAGAGATCGTATACAGTTGGAATGGAGTAGGACTTCGCAAGAACAATCCAGGGATACCCATAAAACACTACATGACTGCCGAGGATCGAAAAGAATGAGGACTTGAAAGCATATCAACGACCCCGCCGGTACACCTGCGGCTGGGGTGACCCGAGGCTATGCGAGTGGATGGTGCAATCGCTTCTACATCAACTCTGGGCTGTTTAGACATCGATCATGTGCGAAAACCGATTATTAAAGACACATTTAGCAGCAACTAGTGTACGCTTCGCTGCTACGTTTATAAATAAACGAAATACGAAGGCATTCTTAGTGTTAAGAAATAATCATACATATAATCCGCTTTAAGAAAAACATTTGTTCTTCATGTACACGTGGTATTCGTGTAAAATACACGGCCGTGTTAGATTTTTTTTCGATTTACGCTATCGCTTAAATTTTCGGGTTAAAAGTAAAAACTGAAAACCCGTTTTATTTTTAACAATATCAAACGAAGTTGTTGTCCGCAGAAATAATCTTGTAAACGTATTTTAAGAACAAAGTTCCTTGCCGTACGTTACACTCAGACGCTCGACGGAAGAGAGCCACACGAAAAAAAGTGTAACCGCAACGAAAAATGCTGACCGCTGTTGCTTTAGTTAACATCTATATAAATTTGTTAACTAACGTTCACACCACGCCGAATATACCGGCGTTCTTCCGATCAGCGAAGTTAAGCAGTCGGGCGCGGTCAGTACTTGGATGGGTGATCGCCTGGGAACACCGTGTACTGTTGGTTTTTTTTTTTATGTTAAATTCTTTTTATTGTAGTTTATAACAAAAATATTACTTAGAATTTTCTTATAATATTTTATTACCATTCCTTCATTCTTTTCTGTACATAACCAATAATTCCCTCTTTTTTCCTGAAATATTGAATGTAACTCTTGGATTAATTCAGTTCTGAATAGTATTCAATTATATACTTTTAATAAATACTTATACAATTATGTGAAAGTGATATATATCTATTATTGATTTCACAATTTCATAATTGTTCAAATTGACGAACTTAATAAGGAATTTTAATAATTAATAAAGAAAAACGTTAATTTACAACTTACAAATATTTCTTACCATTTATTTATTCTTATTTATTCAGTTACTTTCAAATGTTTTAATTAAGTTCATTGTTATTATTCAATTCATAAAATATATTTACATATAGCGAACGGAACTTCGTTCCAACCAGATGTCCCAAAGATATTATGTTTTAAATGTCATTCCGAATTGAATGAGCTGTCTACTTTATGTAGAATTAGAATTTTTTCATAAAATCAGTTCTCGATAAGACTAGTAAATGTTTTGAGAAAAGAAAAAATGGTGGTCGAAAGTTAGGATATGATTTAAAAATAACATTTAAAGCTAGTTTTGCCCACAGTTTCGTCCACGTAGACATAAAACAAATTCCTCTATTTTTCCATCACCTCATTAATTCTCTAGTGCAAGACCGATCATAGTTGAAGATCACTCATCGTTACGTTACCGAGCGTTAACTTTTCAAAGTGACTCCCAGCCGCAACCTAATTTAATTGTCACGTCAAAACATTAATTTACAACTTTATCTTACCATTTATTCACTTATTCTTATTTATTCAGTTACTTTCAAATGTTTCAATTAAGTTCATTGTTATTATTCAATTCATAAAATATATTTACATATAGCGAACGGAACTTCGTTCCAACCAGATGTCCCAAAGATATCATGTTTTAAATGTCATTCCGAATTGAATGAGCTGTCTACTTTATATAGAATTAGAATTATTTTTCGCATAAAAATCAGTTCTCGATGAGACTAGTAAATGTTTTAAGAAAAGAAAAAAAATGTTGGTCGAAAGTTAGGATATGATTTAAAAATAATATTTAAAGCTAGTTTTTGCCCACAGTTTCGCCCACGTAGACATAAAACAAATTCCTCTATTTTTTCCATCACTTCATCACGAAACCAAAAACCCTGTCTCCATACCGTTCTCGACTCTCATCCCGGTTCTGCTCTCGAAACCTATTTCTTTCATTTTCGATTCCGAAAGCGGTCCCACTTTTAATTTCGACTCCGGTCTTGATCTGAAGACATTCCAATTCCATCCTCGATCTCAGCCCCGCTTTAATTTTTGATCTCAGTACAGCTTCATTCCGATCCCGCTCACGCTCTTAATTCTTATTTTGATCCCATACTCGATTTTGAGGTATTTTTCAAGATTTCGATCTCGGTCTTGACTTTCTATTCTATTTCTCGTCCAGTATTGCAATTTCAATTCTGCTACTTCTCATGGTTCTGATTCGAACTTCGTAGCAAATGCTAGTATAAAATATCAAAATAAAACATGGGCTATATTATTCAGGAGATAGTGTAGTTTTATATGAGTGAAACATTTCCAGAATATTAGTGACGGAAATATGAAGTAAAGCCAAGTTTTTTGAAACGTTTTCGTTTACGCGTTCAAAATAAAAAAAAATGAACAAACTACACACAGCAGTATCGATTTTCCATAAAACATTTTATCCCTTATATTATCCTCTTAGAGCGACTTTTATAGTACATGAGACACGTCGTTATTTTTCATTCGTAATACGCTAAAATAACTTTTGCTGTCTATAGTTTCAGCAGTTTTGTTTTTTTACAAAAAAAAATTCAATACTTATGTCACCCCTTTCAGAGTAATTTTTAAGAACAACGTATGTCATTATTTTTATTAGTAATGATTAGCTAAAATATAAATTATGAATGAATAATTTCAGTGATTTCCATTTTCCATACAACAATTCATCCCCTATTTTACCCTATTCAGGGTTAATTTAAAATAAAGCAGTCTATGCATTATATTTTTTTATTTCATCGTCATCATCACTCAACCTTCAGCCAGTCGCGATGAATGAAAGAGACAAGTCCCGATACACGAAAAGAGCGTAATTATATAAGGGGAGTGTAGGTTGTAGCTTGGATTAGAAGTGACGGGAGTGTAGAGCCAGCCGGTATTCGTGCAACCTTTAGCCAGAAACTGGAGTCAGGATAGGTAATAGATAAAATAGTGGGAAGGGTATGTTCCTTCAGTTTCTCATTTGTTCTTCGTTTCCTTTGCTTGGTGCAGGCTTTGACGTTCATTTCTGGAGTTGGAACAGTTCATCTGCAGCCTTTCTAATAGCTACTGTACTCTGTGCTAATGTTGTTTATTCTTCTTGATTCGTGTTATAAAAATTACTGTCTTATTAAGCGAGTCTCCCAAGTGTGAATAACTTTCTATCGTAGAAGAATTTAATGCAGAGTTGAGTCGATGGTGCCCAGCTCTTAAACAAATCCTTTCTGGATTTTCAGTCAATCTTCCATTGTCTATTTTCTCAGCTGGTATTTTTTTCTACAAAAAATTAAAATGATTTGTGTGACATCAGTAGCTATTTTTACCCCTTAAGGGTTGAATTTCTAAAAATCTATTCTTAATGCTCACCTACATTATAATAGGTATCTCTCTAGGAAAATTCAAGTCTGTAAATCCATTAAGTTAGACTTTGCGTTGATATTTCTAAGTCAGTTAACTCTTTTATATACATAGATTGTTGTCAAAATGACAATTTTTTTGGTTTATTGTGACAATACCAATAATGTGTCAAATAAGAAGTAAGAGTGGTAATTTTTCCCGACCGTTTTGTTACGTTGACTTGTTAACTGTTAAAATGAAACGTTTTGTAGATTTTTGTAAATAATATTAGAATTGATTTGTGATATTTTTATGTAGTGTACTTTTTTTAATATTCTTCGGACACAGCACCATCTGGTCTGAAACTAAGCAACGAGGCTTGTATTATGGGTGTACCGGATAGTCGATATTATATATTATACACATATTCTTTTTTTTTGTAAATATATACATACAAATAATATAGAAACACCCGGACTCCAGACGAACATTAATTTTTAATCAAATAAATAATATATGCTCGTCTTGTGCGGGAATCGAACCACGCCCCCAGCGCAACAAGTAGGGTCAGCTACCAACTTTGTCAATCAGGCAGTCAATTATTACACTTATACTAGCATTCGCGCTCAGCTTTGCCCGTATGAATATACATAGAATGAATTCCTAAATCTACTATATGGAACCCGTCATACCTCACTTTTCGCTTGGAAGATCTCGCATTCAATACTGATCTTCGCTCTTGATGTGAATTCCAATTTCTCTGTCCTTTTCCCTTTAACGATCCCTATCTGTTATGACCTATGTACTCTCTCGTGACCTAAATCTACCTATTCGTACCGAATTTTATTCTAGACGGATTTATGTACAAGAAGATAAAACCGCGGAAAATATCCACTTCAATGTAAATAAAATAGTAAGATATTTTATTTACACTGAAGTTGATGTTTTTCTCCATGACATAAACAAAAGTTGTTTGAAAGGCGAGGTCAAAATATACCAAACAAATTGAAATAAATGCGAGCTGACGGCATTGAAACTTTGCATGAAAACTAGACGAAGTATTCTCAGTGTGTTTCCCGAATATAAGTAAGATATGTGTCGAAATTCACTACAAATCACGTGGAGGCCGACGACGTAAATCTGTATTATATAAATAAGAAAAAATATTATATGTGTATACATTGCTTTTTTATCGTTAATAAGTTTTAAAAGAAATTAATGAATAAAAATACTGCAAAATATAAGTAATTTTTACAAATTATCATGATTTACTTATGGTAAATGCCTTTTGAGAATCATTTTCAATTTTATCCTTACCAATTAAATATATCCGGTTCGTATCTTAATGCGACATTATTGGAAATCAATATAATGGACTCTGTAGACGGAGGCGATATATAAAAATCGACGAACACTGATTAATTGGTACGAGAGATTTCCGGAGACACGTGGAGCTACTCATCAAAAATAATTATGTTGTAAATAAATTATTACATAACATCATATGCCGCATGGACACATCCCACGAAAGCAGGTTGTGTGATACAGTGATAGGATAGGATGCGCACATTTTTAAATTTTCTTCAGCATCTCGTCTGAACACAGTGATTATATGCAAAAAATATGGTAAGTTTTAGCAGAAATCGAGTATGAGATGAAATTGTTGTTTTATGTGGGCCATCTTGGATGTATTAAATAGTATTTTATTATTATTTACACCATTTGCCCCCTTTTAAAACTGTAGTTTGTCTCCTACAAACAAAAGACAGCTGACAGATGCGAGGGCGGGAGGGAGATGCGGGTGGCATGGTCAAACAGATATAGCTTTGCGGATGGATTGATGCACTTTGCTCGACGCGCGGACGACCTGGGACGAGACGGGAACACGCAGACAGACTATTCCTAGGGCTGTCCAGAACGCATACAATTATATATAGATAATAGTTGAGAATTGTTAGTGAAAAAGCAGATTCGAGGGTTATCGGTAGGTTGCATGCTGCATGTTAATGTGTGCGGACAAGCGTCTAATTATGAATTATCGTGTTGTAAAACTTCATACAAATATGCACAAAGCTCGATTGACGAGTGAAAATCAGTTTTAAAATAAACTAAATACTATGGCTCACTAGAAAGAAGTACAAAAATCCGATCAAGATAAAGTATCTATTTTGAAAATAATGTATAATGAAGTATTGGAAAAAAAAAAATGTATGTTGAATGGCCGACTATTAGCACAAGTTGACCGAAGTTACTGCAGTCAAGCTTTTAATAAAGCAAGTGGTAAAGCTATAAGTTCTGAACGAAACGAGCGCGATTAAGTGG